AGAGACGAGACACAGGGGGAGAGGGAACACAAGCAGGGGGAGTGGGAGAGGGAGAAGCAGGCTTCCCGTTGAGCAGGAAGCCTGATGCGGGGCTCGATCCCAGGACCCCGGGATCATGACCTGAGCCGAAGGCAGACGCTTAACGACTGAGCCACCCAGGCGCCCCAGTTTCACAGGTTCTTAAAAAGTTCAACAACACTCACCACACGATCCAGGCCTTATACTCCGAGGTATTTATCCAAGAGAAATGAAAGTATATGTCCACACACAAGACACACATACGTGAATGTTCATAGCAGTTTTATTTGTAATAGTCCAAAACTGGAAATAGCCCAAATGTCCAACAGGTGACTAGCCAAACAAACTGTGGTACATCTATGAAATGGAATAGTACTTGGAAATGAAAAAGAACGGCTATGAACACATGCAACAACATGGGTGAATCTCAGATAATCTGCTCAGTGAAAGAGGCAGAGGAAAAAGTGCACACTGTACGATTCTATTTATGTAAGTTCTGAAAAATGTGAATTCTTCTATAGTGATGGAAAGCAGTTCAGTGGATACTATGAGGAGCAGGAGGGATGATTACAAAGGGGCAGGGGAAATGGCGTGGGTGTGGCTTCCCGGGTGTATACATGTGTCGTCATCAGATAGTACATTTTCAATACATGCAGTGTATTGGATGCCAATTTTCCTTCAATAAAGCTGTTTTTTTAAGATTTCACTTTTATTAAAAATTTATTTCCCTGAGAGAGAAAGAGAGCGTGTGCACGTGCATGCGGGGGGAGGAGCAGAGAGGAAGAGAGAGAAACTCAAGCGGATTCCCTGCTGAGCACAGAGCCTGACCCGACCCAGGGCTCAGTCTCACGACCCTGAGATCACAACTTGAGCCAAAACCAAGAGTCGACGCTTAACCAACCATGCCGCCCAGGTGCCCCTTTAAGATATTTTTTTTTCTAATATCTTTTTTTTAAGATTTATTTATTTGCCAGAGAGAGAGAGAGCACACAAGCAGGGGGAGCGGCAGGCAGAGGGAGAAGCAGGCTCCCCCCTGAGCAAGGACCCCGGGATCATGACCTGAGCTGAAGGCAGATGCTTAACTGACTAAGCCACCCAGGCGCCCCTCAGTTTTTATTTTTTATTTTCATTTTTTTAAAAAAGATTTTTATTTATTAGACAGATAGCACAAGCAGGCAGAGAGAGGCAGGCAGAGGGAGAGGGAGAAGCAGGCTCTCCGCTGAGCAGGGAGCCCGATGGGGGGCTCGATCCCAGGATCCTGGGACCATGACCTAAGTCGAAGGCAACCGCCCAACCAACTGAGCCACCCAGATGCCCCTCAGTTTTTATTTTTAAGTAATCTCTACACCCAACATGGGGCTCAAACTCACAACCCTGAAATCAAGAGTTGCATACTCCTCTGACTGAGCCAGCCAGTCCCCCTCAATAAAGCTGTCTTAAAAAACAATAGAAGAAACTAGAGAGAGAGAGAGATCTGCCTGTAGTTCTACTCACAATACTGATTTCATAATCTAGGAAAGGATTATCTTGGCTTTTTTTTTTTTTGTTTTTTTAACCCAATACAAGGTTTTATTTTTTGAGGGATTATATTTAAACTTACATTTTATTACATAGTATTTGATACATACAAAAGGATGTGTGGCATCTTGTCTGAGTTAGGGACTGACATACATCGAATGCCCACGAACCCACAACCCAACCTGAGAACCAAGATTTGACCAAAACCCTTGCACACTCCTGGGGTCCTTCCTCATCGCTCCTCTACTCTCCTCTCCGAGACCATCGTCTTGAATTTTGTACTTTTTCTTCCCCTGATCGAACAGGGTTTTATCACATGTGCCTGTCCCACCAGACAGTAAATGGTTTCCTTTTGCTGGTTTTTTTGAGCTTTTGAAAATGCAACCATACTGTGCGTAGTTTCATGCGATTTGCTGTTTGAGTTCAGTATTCGATCTCTGAGGCTCCTCCGTGTTGTTGCATTTTGTATATTACAGGATTTTCAATCCTCCCCATGGCCCTGCAGGCCGATTTAGGATTTGCTCTATGGGGAAAACACAGCTCAGCATTTGACAGTAGCTCTCACAAGAACAAACACAGCCACTCTGACGCAGCAATGTCGCTTCCAGAAAGTCACCCTACAGGACACTTGAATGGCCAGAGTGGCATGGGCGTGGTATTTATTGCACAAGGGTATTTACTGCAGTGTCCCTCGTAATATCAAAGTCGTAGAAACAGTTACATCAGTAAGGGATCTAATCGCAGTGAGTGAACAGGAGTTGTGGGAAAGCTATACAATGGAACACCACTAGCTGTGAAAACAACAAGGGGAGGGGAGCACTGATGATGGAAAGCTCTCCAGAACAGATTTTGAAAGGGTAAGAGCAGAACAGTGTGTGGAATGTGTCACCGCACATTTAAAAAGGGGAGAAGAATAAATCATACGGAACTGCTTAAATACTTGCAGGAGGGTTCAGAAGTTTTCATCGAACCAAAGGGTTCAGACTTTTCATTGTATCCATTTTGTATTCTTTTAAAAAAATAGCAGGCCACGGACAAGGGCTACCTATTTAAAAATACATAAATAAAATAACACTTTCAGTCTTTTCAGTGCAAATTCCCAGCTTCCTGGTCTTTCTTTGGCTTGTGGCCAGCCTGTGCTGCCAGTGAATATTTTATCAGAAGCCCTTGCTTTTCCCCCCCGACCTCCCACTTTTTGGCATGTTACGGTCTCAACTCCCTCAAAGCCCCTTTGCCGACCCGGGTGGCAGCCACGGGCTAGGGCAACCTGCCACAAGGTGGCGCTCTTTGCGGGCCGCTGCTTTGTAGGCGGGAAGGTCGTCCTCTCCCGGGCACCTGGGGTGAGGGTCAGGGGCCTCTTCTGAGTGGGAGCTCACCTCCCCGCCCCCGGCACGCCTCAACTGAGTCCTACACCTCCACCAGGAAATCTGGAAAATGGGAAGTTAGGAATCATATCATGTCACTCCACCATTTGGTCCATCCAACGTCCTCCAGGCAGGTGCAGACTTTGAGAACTTGGGAGGTGCCTGCCACCCTCCTTTGGGTCTCAGGGAGAGGGCAGGTGTGAGTGCCAATGTACAGCTCTGTCTCCCTCCCCGTCTGACAATCTATTTCAGCCAAAAAACCCTAGGAGTCAGAGCAGTCAGGGCTCTGCGGGGGTGGGGTGGGGGGGGTGGACAAGGGGACAACAGAAGAACCTGGGATGGCCGGGGCCCCTGGCAGGGGCAGTAGGGACTGGGCCGCTGCAGGCTCTTCACCTAAGCTGCCATCTCTCCACCACCCACCCACCCACTTGCATCCATTTATCAAATACCAGCAACCCACCGGGTGGAGAGAAATTCTTAATTCAAACAGTTGCCTTGAATATCAGAAGAAAGATAACTGGGCCACATTCGAGACCTGACCCCTGGGCCTTTGCTCAAGCTCTTCCCCCAGACCCAGGGCCTTCCCACCCTATGCAGCCGTGTGTGTGCACCTGACCTCTCCTTCAAGGCTAGCGGTCATCCTACCTCTTTGGCCTCACCTGCCCAAAGGCTCCGGTCCAGAGCAGCCTGGTCAGTGCCTGGGGCAATAGAGGGGGGGGCTTCCTGGCCTGAGGATATGGAGCCCTCTAAGAGGGAAAAGTGCAAGAATGACAATGCAAAGCAAAAGGTCAGCCACGGGCAGACAGACGTACCCTCGAGATGCAGGCTCCAGCAAGGATCGCTGCCTTCACGGGGGGCTGGTCCACATCTTGGTACTGACCTCTCTGTGAGCCCAGGGTCTGGCACTGAGGAGGCTGTCTGGGAATACTTGTTAAATGGACACAGGCTAATCTTCCCAGAGTCTAGCCTGATGACGGAGCCCATACTCTGCAGTCTTGGCCTGATGGAGCACGCTGATACCTAGGTAGCAGCTGGGAGGCAGGGATGCAAGCCTCAGGCTTGGGCAGGGGACACAGGTCATAGCAGGCTGTGTCCACAGACCAAAGCCTCGCTGGCACTGGGTGGCGCAGCCAGTGGCTGGCCCTTCCTGGGCCCTGGCTGCCTGGTGAGACCCTGAACGGGGCAGGGGTGCCCTGGATGAGAGTCCCTTTGTTCAGCTTGGCCTCCCCCCCCCATTTGCACGGTTTCTCGGCCACAAAAGAGGCCTCACACTTCAAAGCTGAGGGCTCATCCTGAGCAGGAGAGCCCGGGAAGACAGTGCCCCTGAGATGCCTTTTGGGGGCCACTGGCCTCTCCATCAGCTCTGCCGGGCTCCCCCATTAGGGAGTCACCAGAACACTGGGGGGCCCCCTTCCCTGGTGCCACAGAGAGATGTGCTGGAGGGAGGGAGGGAAGAAGAAGGGAGATGAGACAGTGGGCTCAGCTCCCCCGGACAAAGAGGGATCAGTGGAGTAAAATCAAACCAGCTTTAATACCAATATAGTCTCTCTTTTAAATACCATGTTCCCCAGGACAGGGTGCAGGGGCAGGCTCTTGGCAGGAAGAATGGAAAGGAAATGTGGAGACAAAATGGAATGGGTCACCTGGGCCTGCCCCCACCCTGCCCGGGGACCCTTGCCGCAGGGCCTGAGCTGCCCACAGGGAAGGGGGAGGTAACAGCAGCTTCCTCTGGTCCAGTTTTGTGGGGGGCCTGGGGTGGGCTTCCCCCCACCCCCAGCCCGCAAAACTCTTCTCAGGATTATTTCTGCCCTTCAGACCAGCAGAGCCTGGGCTCCTCTGACCTGGGAGGGGCCCCTTTTGCCTAAAAGGGAATGCAGCTAAGGCCTGGGGGCAGGGTAGGGGGGATGCCCCCGGCCATGCCCGGCCCTCTCAGTAACTGCTCTGGTGGCCCGTGAGGATGTAGAGGTTGCTGTGAGCCCCTGGGTTGTCAGTGGGAATGCTCTCGAGGATGATATCCCTGGAGGGGAGAGAGAACCGGAGGGGAGAGAGAACCGGAGGTGAGCAGGGCAGGGAAGACCTGTGGCACATCCATATGGCCTCAGGGGCTTCTGAAGGGGAGGTCGGGGCACCGCGTCCTACCTGTGGGCCCCGAGCACTCGGAAGATCCTTGTCTCGTCTGTGATCTCCTGGGTCACCTGGGAAGAAAAGGGGCACTGAGGCCACCCCAGTGGCTCCTCTCCTAAGAGGCGGTGCCCACCAGGCCAGGGGCAGCGAGGGTCCAGAGTTCCACTCACCTCGTTGGTGTCCAAGCTACGGCCTTGCATCCCATGGCTCCAGAAGGCCAGCACACTGTCTTGCAGACACACTAGGAGGCAGCAGGCTGCCTCAGCCCTGCACCTGCCCCGAGGACGCTGGCGCCCCCCGCCACACCCTGGCCCCAGGTCTGGGCCACCGAGGTCCTCACAGACCGCAGGTGACAGGTGTGGCTCTTGAGAGGGGCTGGGGCACCTGCCTCCTTGTCCCACTGCCCGCCCCGCCCCGGGGCCGCATCACATGCTCTAGGCTGGGGACCTTCCCGCCCCCACCCCCATCCAGCTCACTCACCCACAGTCTCAATGGGGAAGTCAAAGGTCAGCACGGGCGCCAGTGTGGCCGTGGGCTCACCCAGCAGGTTGACCATCCTCACGCAGCCTGTACAGGGAGAGGGCTGGTGGGTGCGAACGGGGTGGTTCCCTTCTGGGGAGGCACACCCACATGCACATGGCTTCCCTCAGCCTCCCCTCAGCCCCTCCACTGCCCCGAGCCCTGACCTCAGGGGCACTCACGGTCAAAGCAGACTAGGACTGTGTCCCTGTCCACCTGGATCACCTGCTGGGCGGTGCCCGGGAGCCCCTCTGCAGGCAGACAAGGGAGACACGGCCTGGCTGAGCCCCGTGAGGAAGACCCGGGGGTACGGCTACAGCCAGCTGCCCCCACAAGCGCCTTTCAGCCCCACAGCCGTCCGACTGATTCCCGCACAGCGCAGCTGGGGCAACTGAGGCTCAGAGCGGCTGAGTGAGCCGCCTGCAGGCGCCGTAGAGAGGCAGAGGTGAGTCCCAGGGAGCCGTGGGAGGGCAGGGTTTCTGGAGCCGGGAGAAGCACCGTGTGCGACTCCACCACTGTGTGACCACAAGTCTCTGAGCCTCAGTTCCCTCACGTGTAACCCAGGCAGGACGATGCCGACCTTGCGGGGCTGCCGTGAGGAGTAAGAATGAAGGCTTGTGTGGGAGGCCCCTGGCTCGGGGCCTGGGGCACAGCTGGGCCTTAGTCCAGTGCGCCTGTCCTTCTTGACCGACGGCCACTCCCTCTGCTCCCCTGAGCCGTCCCGACCCAGTGTCCCGCTTCCCTGCTCAGGATGAAGGCCCCCAGGCTCGCCCTGCCTGGTTTGGTTCTGTCCCTGCGGCCCCCTAATGAAATCTCTTAGAGAAGCCCCGCTGAAGGGGGGCTGGGAGCCAATAGCTGTGGTGAACCCAGTTCCCTGCCCACCCCCTCTCTCTGACACACACACACACACACACACACACAGCCCTCTGGCTCACCAGGCGGTATGAGGACGTCAGGCATCAGACCAGCCTCCAGGGGCAGGATGTGGAACAGGACTCGGCAGCCGGGCCCCTCGGGGCCCTCCGCCCCCACACACACCTGCGGCAGCTCCTTCCCATCCAGCACCAGGGGCTCCAGCATCCCCGCGGGGCTGGGCAAGGGGCTGGAGAAGTTCTGGGGGCAGCAGGGGTGCTCAGGCCTCCACTTCTCCCCCCAGGCCCACTGCCACCATCCAGGCCACCGCCCCCCCCCTCCGCCCCGGCCGCCCCGCACCTTCAGCAGCAGGAACTTCTGCAGCGGCTCATACCACTGCAGCAGGAGCAGGCTGGTGGGCAGGGCAGCCAGCAGGAAGGTGCTGCCCGTGTAGGGGTTCCGCACTGCAACAGAGGCAGGCGGTGGGGACCCGGCCGCGCCCGTGCCCCCAGCCCCCCCATGCCCGGCTCTTACCCACGCGACACTGCAGGCAGCCTTTGGTGTCTGGAATCTTGGCGGACAGGGCAAAGCGCCTGCAGGGATGATGACCGGGGCACGTGTCATGGGTGCCGTCCATGGCCAAGGCCCCACAGAGCCCTGAGATGGGCGCTGTCCCCTTCCCTGCCCGACGGGGGAGAGCCTGAGGCTCCAACACCCACCTCCACAGCCTGCGGCCCAGGGGTGCGGGCACAGAAGCACCTTTACCTGTGCCCCTTTGGGCAGCTCACTTAACCTGCCCCTGCCTCAGTTTGCTCATCCAGGGAATGGGGGTAACCGTGGCCCTGACCCCGTAGTGAGGAGAAGGGCTTCCAGCAGAGCCTGGCACGCTGCGTGCACTCACACAGGGCTAGCTTTGCCCATTCCGAATGATGACTTGCCCGCCTACTGCCCATCACTGGAAACCCTTCTGAGGCGAAGGCAAGGTCTAAAAGCAGACGTGAATGAAGAAACAAGGGCACGGAGGGGGCAGGCGCGGCTCCAGCCCTGCGAGCACTCACGGCGGTCCCCCCTCCGCCTGCCACATGGCACACGTCAGAGAAGGGCAGGCGGGGCCCAAGAAGATTAACACGTGCAAAAAAACCACAAACAATCGGCCCGGCCTGCCCTCGCTGAAGTGACACCACAGGGAGCCGGCTGGTGGCTGGCTTTGGTGGCAGGGAAAAGTAGCGTCCTTGCTTCGGTTACTGGCTGTCCCCCAAGCCCTCAGGGGACCTCCTGAGCCCGTTTCCTCCTCTGGGGAACAGGGTTACGTGTCCGGAGGCCTGCCACCTCCTCCCAGCGACCCGGGTTGTCTGCCCCTGTCTCCTCTCTCCCTTTGCTCTGTCTCCTCTCTCCCCCAACTGGCTTCTGGACGGGACAGAGGCAGATATTTTTGTATCTGTTTTTTCTCCAAACAATTCTGGCTCTCTGCTTTTTATGTGCAAGGTGGACAGCGTTGACTCCGTGACTTTCCAAACACACACCCGAGCTGGGGCTCTGACGGGCCTGTTTCCTGCAGGTCCTGGGACAAAGCAGAGGCTTGCTCGGGCACTGAGCTCAGGAAGCCCCAGGGCTGCAGGGCTCCAGATGTGGTACACGAGCGAGCCCGCCGCAGGAAGGGCCTGGGCCCGCAGCTCCCCAGCTGGGGTAGCCACTGGCCTGACCTCTCCCACCGCCCCTACCAGCTCCCACCACCCCCCTGGGCAGGGCAACATCTAAGCCTACTGCCCGGACCCCTCCTCGAATTCAGCCACACTTAGCCCACGGTCGATGGAGGTCCCACTTGCACATCTCAGACTCAATGTGACAACACTGAATTCTGCTCCACCCACACCTGATGACAGCTCTATCCTTCCTGCTGCCCAGGCCAAAAACCCTGGAGTCATCGACTCCTCTTTCTCTTGCATCTACCAACTGTCAGGAAATCCTGCTGATTCAACTTTCAAAAGAAAACCAGAATTCAGCCGCTTTTCATCTCCTTCACTACTACCCTGGCCCACGCCACCATCACCTCCCACCTGATGGGTACAAGAACCTCCTGACAGGTTTCCCTGCTTTCCCTTCACCCTTTCAGTCTATTTTCAACATAGCGGCTACAGGGATGATCCCCTCAAAACCTCAGTCCATGTCACTTTCCCCCTGGATATCAACAAGCCTTGCTCTAAGTCTTTATTCAAACAGCACCGTCTCAGAAATGTCCTTCCTAGGGCGCCTGGGTGGCTCAGTTGGTTAAGCGACTGCCTTCGGCTCAGGTCATGATCCTGGAGTCCCGGGATCGAGTCCCGCATCGGGCTT